ATGGTTAACTTAAGGGCTTTGGATTTACGTAAACCACTCTAACGAAATACTAATTCGGAGGTAGTCTTGCTAGGTTTAAAACCTATTTTGCCTGACTTGGGGAAATTCTCTGATCTGAACCCCCATCCTTACCAAATTCTTTAACACTATTGGTTGCGAAAGTCGTATAATTTTCACCGCGCAGCGGGAACACTACATCAGAGCAGTTCACCCTCTAGTCCATGGTTACCTTATGTTCCGCCACCTGTTCCAAGTTCCGTTTTAGGGGCTGCGCCTACTTAAGTGCTCGTAAGCTCCCCCAATTTTTTTACCTACCAAATACTTAACATTTTTTAACGTAAAATGCTTTAAACCGTCTATTAAAGGCTCCGTCTAAGCCAGGAAAACTTATCTGACTAGAAATATCAGACTGCGTCACAGGGATGTGAGTCTAGACTGTCTGGTACAGTCTGTGAACTAGGTTACTTTACATATGAAGCACTACAAATAAGAGAACTTTGTAACCCTAGAACTTAAAATGAAGAATCTTGTAACTAACTATTTCTATTTTTCTTTCTGGTTGCTGTTGTATTTTGTTTCGTTTTTGAATTTTTATTTAGCGATTCTGCATTTAGGTAACACCATCTATATGGGAATACCAATAAATTGTTGTTGTTGTTGTTGTGTCTACCGAATTCCAACTTCAGTTATTTGATGTAAGTAAACAGTCTAGCACCTAAACCAAGCAGACCTAAACACAGAGAAATCCAAGTACCACTGGACCCAAACGCCACGCTTCCGATCCCGAAGCCGCATTTACTCCGTTCTGCATAGAAAATAAATTCATTTACCACAGTGCGGTCACGGAAAGGGTGCCACTCGTTCCAGTTTCCCGAGCTCATGCTGTTTACTTTGGACAGTAAGTCGTTACATTTCCATGTCACTCTCGAAGCGTATACACAGGGCACAAGGAAGATTGAGAAGTTAAGAACAAAAGCTACGGCCATGAAAACGGTAGGCGCCCCGCTGAAGTGTCGAGAAAACAATGAAAAATGCATCGAGTCAAAAACGAACACAGCAAGGCAGTTAGCGCCGAACATTAACCAGTGAACAATAAACCAGGTTTTAAACGATTGTGAAGCTGTTGACAGTTTTCTGCACAACTTTTGATGTGCAGCGGTGACGTAATTAAGGGTTCTTTCACCCATGTTACGGATTTCCTCGAAACATGCGTCAACTAAACTAACCAATGCGCATGACACAACAGCGAAAACGTAGCAACATATGAACGCTGTCAAGTAAACAATCAGTATTCCTAACCCAAATANCAGTGAACAATAAGCCAGGTTTTAAACGATTGTGAAGCTGTTGACAGTTTTCTGCACAACTTTTGATGTGCAGCGGTGACGTCATTAAGGGTTCCTTCACCCATGTTACGGATTTCCTCGAAACATGCGTCAACTAAACTAACCAATGCGAAAGACACAACAGCGAAAACGTAGCAACATATGAACGCTGTCAAGTAAACAATCAGTATTCCTAACCCAAATATGCCGTAAAATTTCATTTTGCTGTATCCAACCGCGGATATTCGGAAAGCACTTGCAACTGTAATGGCCAGGGAGCAAATCACCAACATTGCGTTAATTAAAAGCCACTCGCGTGAGCTAACTTTGGCTTGTGCAGAAACAAGAGAGAAAGAAGGCAAATGTCCTTCCACGCGCCACAGAGTGTAAATTAAGAGCACGTAAGTCGTAGTATCGGAGAGAGCATTCCACGCGTCGAACGCCAACGTTATGTCGTATACCTCGATAACCAGGGGATCCACCGTTGATTGGCTAGTCACATTTGTCACGCTCTTGGAAATTGTAACGCAACGATCGACAAAGGGACCACAGATACTTGGAATTATTATTTCTGCCAGCAATGATAAAATATTCAAAGCTACAAAAAAGGCGCAAAGCAGAGCTAGCGTTTTACCCTTGGATTCCATAAACCTGCTGCTTTCGTTACGAGCCTGAATAGCTTCCCCGAGGCCAGAATGCCGTTACAACGACTTGTTGACTCCGCCTGACTTTGCAGACCGTAAGCGTGCTCCAATTTCAGTCGACTAGAAGGTGCATCTTCTATTGAATGTTCACTTCTATGCTTGCAACAGAATTCTCTATGTGTATTGCTTTCTCCAGCGATTGGGTATAATGGTCGCGTTGTGGAACCTGTTTCCAAGTTATTGTGATCACATTTGAGCTCGTTGTCCATTGCAACTTCCGGTGTCGTCAATAGGGTTCTTCAGTTCAGAAGCTTTTGACCTCTTTTCCTGTCGAGGCCCTCTTTTGGATTTAAAACGATTCTGTTGATGAGTCTGGACACTGTCCCGGTTTTCAAGTCATTTCTTGAAATGAGTAAACTTAATAAAAAGTCCAAAGGGTTGCGTGTGTACTTGCTCTGACTTCGCTTTCAGAGCCTGCGAATTTTTGGTCTGCGGCTTAGTTTTCTACATCAGGGGGTACTCAACCAGGTGCCGCGCCCTGTTTTCTTCAAATCTTCACCTTATTTCAGACCAAACTATGCGATTTTAGACCCTTAACTGAAATTAGAACACACATGACCACAGCTAACCAGGAATGGCTGTGCGAAAAACTTTTGAGAAGGGCTTAAAATCTCCGATTTTAACGGGGAAAAAAAGTTTTATCTGAAATAAAATACCAAGATCCAGACCAGAGCCGCACAAGCTATACGTACCCTACGGTATCCAGTCAGACTGTTCGATGCTCAGATCATTCCAAAGTACTATATGTAATGCGGTCAGTTCGTTCTCGGTTCCACTTATAAATAGTCAGATAAAAGATCCTTAGAATAGCTAAAAGATCGGCTCCACGAGTGAAATTCGAGTGAAGTTCTAAGTAAGTACTGTTCACACGATTGATAAATCAGAACTATAAGCTGTTTTCAGGATCGTTAGAGTAAATGTATTTATACACCTTGAAATTGAACTTCGTTCTTGTAAAATCAACCCAGTTTTCGATAAATTCAACTTACCAGGTGCAACAACATTAACAAGTACACTCGGAGAAAAAGGTGTACTGTTTCCGAGGGACGGAAAAAAAGTGTTTTTAGCCCTTTCAAACTGGAACGTGAGTCGTGGTGACGTATGTTTGAATAGAATCAGGTAAGAAGGCAACACCTTTTTTATCGACTCGTTCATTCAACTAATCATAAAGTTGTATTGTTTCGTTACATTTTCATTCAGTAAGAATGTTTTCATGATGTTTTTTTCTTGTGGGAAAATCTGACTATACTGTGGAACGATCTGACTTGGAATCGGATCTGATTATGGAACGATCTGACCAGAATTCGTAACCTACTTCAGCCCAGAATAAAACCCAAACAGCTCAACCATACCCATCAAGCCTTTGACGCCGTGCACTTGGCCTATACAACCCGGACAAGGGAGTAACCGCTAGGCGGGCCTGAACTATGTCAGTGCAAAACATCACCCGGAGCCTCCATACCTACCATAACGTAGAGTCAACCCTTTCCCGTATCATTCTAATTTTAGAGCTGTGATAAGCGCAAGGGTCTCTTGGTTTCCCACAAAATTTCAAGTGCAGATAGAAAATGCAAAATGAGGGCAAAAGGGGGATCTCAGACTTTGTTGTAACAAAGAATGGTCATAGCTCGGGTATCATTGGGTATTGAAAAGGGTTCGTGTGAAAACCCCCACAAGAGCTGTTTCATCTGTAATTACAATGGGCTCCTGGAGATGGAGGCTCCGGGAAATGGACTCTTGGTGCAAAACGATTAACGTACTTTTTCATATTCTAAGTTTTGACTCGTACTAAGCAGATGGAGTTTTTCCAACTTGTACGAAACGAAGTACTCGTGCGCGAAATCTCGCCACAGGCTATCTTGCATGGTTGGTAGGGGTACCTACGGGCTCGGGGGAAAGGGGACAGGTGGGGGGCGGTGACCTTCTTGCCCGACAAAATTACCCCAGCAAACCCACTCAAACTGCATGAAAAACAAAAACGTTTACAGATCTCACGTCTAATGAAACTGCTATAATCCCAAAAATAGCTGTATTGAAAGTTTGCCTTCTCAATGACTTCTATAAACAGTCCTAATTAATCTATAGTAAAATTTAAAACTTATCAAAGAAAAAGTTCCTCCTTGCATGGCGTTCATTCAGGGATTGGCAGATCAGCAACAGAGACTTTTGTGATTCAAGAGGGACCGTTTGGACGTTAAAGAATCTGGACTCTATTCGCCACGAGCGTCTCGATATGCTCGAGACCTTCAAATAACAGTGTGAGGCATTGTTAGACGTCTTAGTCTTGTTTTGGCCATAGGAGACTTGCAGCGTACACTGCAAGCCTAGCCTCCTTTGAATTCATAAGCAGCGTAAATACGATGGCCAACAAATTGGACGTATAAGAGGAGCACTTCATAAGAAAAATTCAATGAAAAAATTATAATACCCCTTTGTTAAGACATTACAAAGGGCTCTTCTCAAAGACACCACAAAAACAAAAGTCTTGGTCTTCATTCGTTGTGATTTTTTTTATAGCTAACAGAAAACTCAAGGTCCCTCATATCATTTCAGTCTAAGTCCTTTTTGGCAAGGCAAATTTCCTACAAAGTAGCTTACAAACCTTGAAACCTAAAATAATAATAATAATAATAATAAAAAATAGGGTCCGTTTTTTTTTTCGGGAGCTTGAAAGGCCACGGTTCACTGTCTAGCGTGGCGTCTTCAGTGCGCCAACGACACTTCAGATCAGCAGCAAATATACATTACACACTTTACACGATACTACTTTAGTGTTAACTCTTTGAAGAAACTACTTGATAGTGTCAAGACTCACAGCCGGGCGTCTAATCACACGGACATAAAAAGTAACTTTATTTACGAGTTTTGAAAATTACACCAATAGCATTCTTTTGTAATGTTTTCTCTTAGGTGTCGTCGCCCGAATCATGAGGTTTTTGCCCGAAAATTACATAATTTTCGTAGCTGGGGTCTGCAGCCTCCTCGGTGCAACCCCCTCCCCCCACCCTTATGGCCCATCCCACAAGCTCGTATGTTTATGTGTGAGGAACTTAGGAAAAGGTCCTGGGTTCCTATGCGGGTTATCCCGCGCGGCAAATATATGTTAATTATTCGAGAAAATTAATGACGTCACGGGCAAATGATCCGAAGCCTTGTTCAATGGTCTAAATTGGTGGCCATGTTGTACGCCATCTTTGTGGAGTATTTTTTCAGGAAAAGAGTGTCATGATTCGTTCGAAATGCCGAAGGATAAGCATGAAAATAATGATCTTCGAAGAAATTATACCCTAATGAGTGCTGAGGATGTAGCTAACGGCAAAAAGTCGAAATGGACCGAACTGGAAATTACGGCTCGATCGATTCGTAATTTGAGCCCAACACTATGGCAGCTGGATTTTTTGACTGCGTTGTTTCTAAACGACAATAATCTTACAAAGATTCCCCCGGAGATCTCCAGGCTTGCTCAGCTCAAGCACCTGGATTTGTCGTCGAATAAACTGCGAAGTTTGCCCAGCGAACTTGGAGATCTGGTCACATTACGTGAGCTACTTCTATGCAACAATAATCTGAGAGTTTTACCAAACGAACTAGGAAAACTTTTCCAGTTACAGACTCTTGGATTGCAGGGAAATCCCTTGCCCCAGGATGTGTTAAGTGTAAATGCAGAACAGAATGGAACAGCAAAACTTCTGAGCTTTATGCTGGACAATTTAACTGGTAAGTAAGTTTAGACTAAGTGTAAACATGGAAGGGAAAAGTCTGTGGTGTCAATTCTAAATTTATCGTTGTCAGTAAAGGTTCGGTCCTTGATCATGTCCATTAAGCAGCACTTCTCGTTTTATACCCACTCTTAGACTGTTCTTTAATGTTTGTCTTGAACTGTATTGTTGATGAGATAGCACTGAATTGTTTGCTTGCGAGCGACGTTTTTCTTTGTGTGTTTTGCACGAGGTTCTTTCGCATAAATTGAGTTCCGAGGCGTCGAATATATGTCATATTGATCAGTCTTAGCTAAGAATTTAGCTCGGTCTTGCTTCTTTCCCGATCAATATTTTACTTTACTTTAGTAACTCAACTACCTTGATTTAAAACACAGAAGGAATCCCTAGCATAATTTTGCAATAAACTTGTTACTTAATCGTCCCGAGATCATTTTGTATTCAACGGCAGAAAGAAAAGTTCTTTCACCTCAACGAACAATAACAGTTCAGACCGCCATGTTTTAAGCTTATTGGAACACAGTATGTACTTCTAAACTACGGATGATTGCATTATGTAAAGCTGTAAGGTAAATCAGTTGCTGACCCGAAAGAATCAAAGGATTTTCTTGTATAATTTGGAAGCGTGATTCCACGGACCTACAGTCCGGAAGTGGATTTGGTGCTAATTCGATTCCGCGAAGCTTATTTTCGTTTTTGTTCGTTCAAGTCTGCTTTGAGGTAACCTTGCTTTTAAGTTCGTTTTGTTTAATTCAAAACCTGGCTGAACGTTTGATCTGATGGCTCGGTGATGAAGAAAATCAAAGTGTTCCTCGAAATTTGTGCAAAAAGTCTTTTGAAAATATCACTGCACGTAATGACAAGCTGAATTAATTTGGATTGGCAGGTTCTTGGAAAGTCACTTCGTTTGGGACAGACAAATATAAGAAAAAATCGAAAAATACAGTGTTCACATTTTTGACAGCAGTATGCCAAGTAATCTAGTATTCTTTCTTTTATATTTTAAGCTGATAAAATTTTTGCAACAGTCTACAATAATGAGAAAGAAGTCAACTTTAAAATACCGTTAATTTCATTATCGGCTTTGAATAAATATTTTCGATTTGGCGTTTCTTTTTCTTTGAAATACTGTATTTTTCTTTGGTGGTATTGAGGGAAATTGTATTCTTTTTAAAACTGCTGCATTGCCAAACATTTTGAAGTTTTTAGACTGAGTTTTAAGCAAGATTTAAACAGTCAGTGTGGCCAATTAACACCTTGTTATAGGGGATTATTAGTAAATCATTATTTTTAATATTCGTTTTGTGTGTTTTTTTGTTCAGTGTCTTATGCCAACACAGCTACATGTATATGTCATAGTATGCGACTGCTAGCTTTCAATGAATAATTATTATTGTTATACAGTTAAAAATAATACAAAAAGGACTCAAAATCTTTGTTCAATCAAAATTGTAGGAAATTTTAGGAGCACATATAAAATAACTTTTAGGAGGTGTGAAACTGGGAAAGTTTTTGTTTATACCCAAATGGACACTGTGATTTCTCAGTAAATGCACTTGAACAGTTTTGTCTGTCAGGTTCCAGTTGTTCAGAGTGTGGATAATACTATCCACCAGATAAATTACAATCCTGTGGATTGAGTAGTTGAGTAGGGTGCTTTGTAGACACTTATCCATCGGATAGCAATTTATCTGGCCCCAGTTGTTCGAAAGGTAGATAATGCTATCCACAATAGTGGATAAATGTTGACCAAACAAACTGCACTATCCTCTGGATAGTGATTTATCTGGTGGATAGTGTTATCCACCTTTTGAACGACCTGGGCCTGGCGGATAACATATTCTCCACACTTTGGACAAGTTGGCCTAGGATGCAATCATTTTCTTCAAAAACCAAAAACTTGCCTACAAAGTTACGATTTGATGGAAATAAAGACTTCACAGGTTGTTTCCATGCAATATTGCAGTCCCAGTACATACTCTTTTTGAGAAGAAATTAAGGTACATGTAGGAAGAATGATTGTGATCCTTATAATGTGATGCAGCTAAAAGAGTTAGGACTTGGGAGAGTTTAAGAAAGCTATCTTAGTCTCATATCTTGCAGTTTGGCTCATTTTCTGGGGAGGGGAACTTCCAGTCAAATGACCTCTTTTAGAGTTCTTCCAGGACCCTAACTTAAAAAATATCTCACAGATATTTGAGGTATTGGTACACGAACCTCTAATTATAGGGTGTAAGTGAATTCAAGCCACAACAGACACAGCAAGAGTCTTGTATCTTTTAGGGGTTCATTAGAAAGCTTTTAAGGAACACTACCACTTTATAGGAACCCCTATCTCAAGGGAAGATTCCTCAAAATTGAATATTGCAATAATGTTAATTTTGATCTCTTATTTACCTCTTTGGTGTAATATATCTTTGTACCTGACTTGCATTATAAAAAAGGAAGGTTTCCTTCAGTGTTAAGATAATCTTAGGCACTGTATATTACAGTACTACTTAACAAATTATTATTCAACAAGTGCGCATTGGATATAAGCTGGCTATAACCATCTCAGATCCAACAAGCACAAGTGGATTGTTTTATTACAAATGCCCCCAAAATGTAGAAAACTAAAATAAAGTAAAAGTAAAAAATGCCCCCAAAATTTCCATGTGTGCTTATCTTACCATATTTGTAAAGTGTAGCATAACGGCTCATAACCCATGATGGCTAAGCCAATGAAAATTGAATTGCATTATCCAATGATCCAGTTTTTAACAATGAGAAATAGTAACTGTAGAATTCTGAAAGTAANGTCGACTAGAAGGTGCATCTTCTATTAAATGTTCACTTCTATGCTTGCAACAGAATTCTCTATGTGTATTGCTTTCTCCAGCGATTGGGTAAAATGGTCGCGTTGTGGAACCTGTTTCCAAGTTATTGTGATCACATTTGAGCTCGTTGTCCATTGCAACTTCCGGTGTCGTCAATAGGGTTCTTCAGTTCAGAAGCCTTTGACCTCTTTTCCTGTCGAGGCCCTCTTTTGGATTTAAAACGATTCTGTTGATGAGTCTGGACACTGTCCCGGTTTTCAAGTCATTTCTTGAAATGAGTAAACTTAATAAAAAGTCCAAAGGGTTGCGTGTGTACTTGCTCTGACTTCGCTTTCAGAGCCTGCGAATTTTTGGTCTGCGGCTTAGTTTTCTACATCAGGGGGTACTCAACCAGGTGCCGCGCCCTGTTTTCTTCAAATCTTCACCTTATTTCAGACCAAACTATGCGATTTTAGACCCTTAACTGAAATTAGAACACACATGACCACAGCTAACCAGGAATGGCTGTGCGAAAAACTTTTGAGAAGGGCTTAAAATCTCCGATTTTAACGGGGAAAAAAAGTTTTATCTGAAATAAAATACCAAGATCCAGACCAGAGCCGCACAAGCTATACGTACCCTACGGTATCCAGTCAGACTGTTCGATGCTCAGATCATTCCAAAGTACTATATGTAATGCGGTCAGTTCGTTCTCGGTTCCACTTATAAATAGTCAGATAAAAGATCCTTAGAATAGCTAAAAGATCGGCTCCACGAGTGAAATTCGAGTGAAGTTCTAGGTAAGTACTGTTCACACGATTGATCGATCAGAACTATAAGCTGTTTTCAGGATCGTTAGAGTAAATGTATTCATACACCTTGAAATTGAACTTCGTTCTTGTAAAATCAACCTAGTTTTCGATAAAGTACACTCGGAGATCTTTTGAAAAAGGTGTACTGTTTCCGAGGGACGGGAAAAAAGTGTTTTTAGCCCTTTCAAACTGGAACGTGAGTCGTGGTGACGTATGTTTAGATAGAATCAGGTAAGAAGGCAACACCTTTTTTATCGACTCGTTCATTCAACTAAACATAAAGTTGTATCTCACATCTAATGAAACTGCTATAATCCCCAAAATAGCTGTATTGAAAGCTTGCCTTCTCAATGACTTCTATAAACAGTCCTAATTAATCTAAAGTAAAATTTAAAACTTATCAAAGAAAAAGTTCCTCCTTTCATGGCGTTCATTCAGTGATTGGCAGATCAGCAACAGAGACATTTGTGATTCAAGAGGGACCGTTTGGACGTTAAAGAATCCGGACTCTATTCGCCACGAGCGTCTCGATATACTCGAGACCTTCAAATAACAGTATGAGGCATTGCTAGACGTCTTAGTCTTGTTTTGGCCACAGGAGACTTGCAGTGTACACTGCAAGCCTAGCCTCCTTTGAATTCAGAAGTAGCGTAAATACGATGGCCAAAAAATTGGACGTATAAGAGGAGCACTTCATAAGAAAAATTCAATGAAAAAATTATGATACCCCTTTGTTAAGACATTACAAAGGGCTCTTCTCAAAGACACCACAAAAACAAAAGTCTTGGTCTTCATTCGTTGTGATTTTTTTTTATAGCTAACAGAAAACTCAAGGTCCCTCATATCATTTCAGTCTAAGTCCTTTTTGGTAGGGCAAATTTCCTACAAAGTAGCTTACAAACCTTGAAACCTAAAAAAAAAAAATAATAATAAAAAATAGGGTCCGTTTTTTTTCGGGAGCTTGAAAGGCCGCGGTCCACTGTCTAGCGTGGCGTCTTCAGTGCGCCAACGACACTTCAGATCAGCAGCAAATATACATTACACACTTTACACGATACTACTTTAGTGTTAACTCTTTGAAGAAACTACTTGATAGTGTCAAGACTCACAGCCGGGCGTCTAATCACACGGACATAAAAAGTAACTTTATTTACGAGTTTTGAAAATTACACCAATAGCATTCTTTTGTAATGTTTTCTCTTAGGTGTCGTCGCCCGAATCATGAGGTTTTTGCCCGAAAATTACATAATTTTCGTAGCTGGGGTCTGCAGCCTCCTCGGTGCAACCCCCTCCCCCCACCCTTATGGCCCATCCCACAAGCTCGTATGTTTATGTGTGAGGAACTTAGGAAAAGGTCCTGGGTTCCTATGCGGGTTATCCCGCGCGGCAAATATATGTTAATTATTCGAGAAAATTAATGACGTCACGGGCAAATGATCCGAAGCCTTGTTCAATGGTCTAAATTGGTGGCCATGTTGTACGCCATCTTTGTGGAGTATTTTTTCAGGAAAAGAGTGTCATGATTCGTTCGAAATGCCGAAGGATAAGCATGAAAATAATGATCTTCGAAGAAATTATACCCTAATGAGTGCTGAGGATGTAGCTAACGGCAAAAAGTCGAAATGGACCGAACTGGAAATTACGGCTCGATCGATTCGTAATTTGAGCCCAACACTATGGCAGCTGGATTTTTTGACTGCGTTGTTTCTAAACGACAATAATCTTACAAAGATTCCCCCGGAGATCTCCAGGCTTGCTCAGCTCAAGCACCTGGATTTGTCGTCGAATAAACTGCGAAGTTTGCCCAGCGAACTTGGAGATCTGGTCACATTACGTGAGCTACTTCTATGCAACAATAATCTGAGAGTTTTACCAAACGAACTAGGAAAACTTTTCCAGTTACAGACTCTTGGATTGCAGGGAAATCCCTTGCCCCAGGATGTGTTAAGTGTAAATGCAGAACAGAATGGAACAGCAAAACTTCTGAGCTTTATGCTGGACAATTTAACTGGTAAGTAAGTTTAGACTAAGTGTAAACATGGAAGGGAAAAGTCTGTGGTGTCAATTCTAAATTTATCGTTGTCAGTAAAGGTTCGGTCCTTGATCATGTCCATTAAGCAGCACTTCTCGTTTTATACCCACTCTTAGACTGTTCTTTAATGTTTGTCTTGAACTGTATTGTTGATGAGATAGCACTGAATTGTTTGCTTGCGAGCGACGTTTTTCTTTGTGTGTTTTGCACGAGGTTCTTTCGCATAAATTGAGTTCCGAGGCGTCGAATATATGTCATATTGATCAGTCTTAGCTAAGAATTTAGCTCGGTCTTGCTTCTTTCCCGATCAATATTTTACTTTACTTTAGTAACTCAACTACCTTGATTTAAAACACAGAAGGAATCCCTAGCATAATTTTGCAATAAACTTGTTACTTAATCATCCCGAGATCATTTTGTATTCAACGGTAGAAAGAAAAGTTCTTTCACCTCAACGAACAATAACAGTTCAGACCGCCATGTTTTAAGGTTATTGGAACACAGTATGTACTTCTAAACTACGGATGATTGCATTATGTAAAGCTGTAAGGTAAATCAGTTGCTGACCCGAAAGAATCAAAGGATTTTCTTGTATAATTTGGAAGCGTGATTCCACGGACCTACAGTCCGGAAGTGGATTTGGTGCTAATTCGATTCCGCGAAGCTTATTTTCGTTTTTGTTCGTTCAAGTCTGCTTTGAGGTAACCTTGCTTTTAAGTTCGTTTTGTTTAATTCAAAACCTGGCTGAACGTTTGATCTGATGGCTCGGTGATGAAGAAAATCAAAGTGTTCCTCGAAATTTGTGCAAAAAGTCTTTTGAAAATATCACTGCACGTAATGACAAGCTGAATTAATTTGGATTGGCAGGTTCTTGGAAAGTCACTTCGTTTGGGACAGACAAATATAAGAAAAAATCGAAAAATACAGTGTTCACATTTTTGACAGCAGTATGCCAAGTAATCTAGTATTCTTTCTTTTATATTTTAAGCTGATAAAATTTTTGCAACAGTCTACAATAATGAGAAAGAAGTCAACTTTAAAATACCGTTAATTTCATTATCGGCTTTGAATAAATATTTTCGATTTGGCGTTTCTTTTTCTTTGAAATACTGTATTTTTCTTTGGTGGTATTGAGGGAAATTGTATTCTTTTTAAAACTGCTGCATTGCCAAACATTTTGAAGTTTTTAGACTGAGTTTTAAGCAAGATTTAAACAGTCAGTGTGGCCAATTAACACCTTGTTATAGGGGATTATTAGTAAATCATTATTTTTAATATTCGTTTTGTGTGTTTTTTTGTTCAGTTTCTTATGCCAACACAGCTACATGTATATGTCATAGTATGCGACTGCTAGCTTTCAATGAATAATTATTATTGTTATACAGTTAAAAATAATACAAAAAGGACTCAAAATCTTTGTTCAATCAAAATTGTAGGAAATTTTAGGAGCACATATAAAATAACTTTTAGGAGGTGTGAAACTGGGAAAGTTTTTGTTTATACCCAAATGGACACTGTGATTTCTCAGTAAATGCACTTGAACAGTTTTGTCTGTCAGGTTCCAGTTGTTCAGAGTGTGGATAATACTATCCACCAGATAAATTACAATCCTGTGGATTGAGTAGTTGAGTAGGGTGCTTTGTAGACACTTATCCATCGGATAGCAATTTATCTGGCCCCAGTTGTTCGAAAGGTAGATAATGCTATCCACAATAGTGGATAAATGTTGACCAAACAAACTGCACTATCCTCTGGATAGTGATTTATCTGGTGGATAGTGTTATCCACCTTTTGAACGACCTGGGCCTGGCGGATAACATATTCTCCACACTTTGGACAAGTTGGCCTAGGATGCAATCATTTTCTTCAAAAACCAAAAACTTGCCTACAAAGTTACGATTTGATGGAAATAAAGACTTCACAGGTTGTTTCCATGCAATATTGCAGTCCCAGTACATACTCTTTTTGAGAAGAAATTAAGGTACATGTAGGAAGAATGATTGTGATCCTTATAATGTGATGTAGCTAAAAGAGTTAGGACTTGGGAGAGTTTAAGAAAGCTATCTTAGTCTCATATCTTGCAGTTTGGCTCATTTTCTGGGGAGGGGAACTTCCAGTCAAATGACCTCTTTTAGAGTTCTTCCAGGACCTTAGCTTAAAAAATATCTCACAGATATTTGAGGTATTGGTACACGAACCTCTAATTATAGGGTGTAAGTGAATTCAAGCCACAACAGACACAGCAAGAGTCTTGTATCTTTTAGGGGTTCATTAGAAAGCTTTTAAGGAACACTACCACTTTATAGGAACCCCTATCTCAAGGGAAGATTCCTCAAAATTGAATATTGCAATAATGTTAATTTTGATCTCTTATTTACCTCTTTGGTGTAATATATCTTTGTACCTGACTTGCATTATAAAAAAGGAAGGTTTCCTTCAGTGTTAAGATAATCTTAGGCACTGTATATTACAGTACTACTTAACAAATTATTATTCAACAAGTGCGCATTGGATATAAGCTGGCTATAACCATCTCAGATCCAACAAGCGCAAGTGGATTGTTTTATTACAAATGCCCCCAAAATGTAGAAAACTAAAATAAAGTAAAAGTAAAAAATGCCCCCAAAATTTCCATGTGTGCTTATCTTACCATATTTGTAAAGTGTAGCATAACGGCTCATAACCCATGATGGCTAAGCCAATGAAAATTGAATTGCATTATCCAATGATCCAGTTTTTAACAATGAGAAATAGTAACTGTAGAATTCTGAAAGTAATGCCCCCCTCCCCAAAAAAAACAACGGCTCCCCAAAAGAAACGTTAATTTTTTTGCCCTCCTATTGAACCCCGAAAGTAACAGCCCCCCCCTCCCTGAAAGTAATGGCCCATCAGTAAGTAGCAGCCCTTTGAAGAAGTCACTAAAAGAGAAACTCTCTGATCTCAAGCACAATATGGATGAAGCATTCTGACTGCAGGACTGCACAACTTGAAGAGTTATTTGTGATTTTATTTATGAGCTGTATTTGTCGGGCAGCACATTCACAGCACATCAGTTTCATTGCGATACAACACGATATAATAGTTTCGCCTGACAGTACCAACATTTAGGACCTTTTTTGTTGATACAGTCTTGCTTTGTTTATGTGGGTAGTTAGGGACACACCTAAATGGAACTTTTAATTGCATGTGTTATACATTCCCTTTGTCTGAAATGACTGTTACTGTACAAACACTTTTCCATCCGAAAGTAATGGCTACCCGAAAGTAGTGGCCCCTTTTGCCCGCTAAATCTGAAGGTAACGGGGGCAATTCTACGGTATGCCATGGATACTTTTAGGTAGATGAATAAACATTTTTTACAAGTACTCTCTATATTGGTATGCATTACTGGTAACCCATAATGATTTTGGAGAATTAACACTTGGAAATTATTATGGTCTCTACATTGCTTACTTGGATGTCCTTGAGCGTAGAAGCGACGCAAGTTACTGTAATGTGTAATTTTCTGAAATATACTTCTTATTTTTACTGAGAAAAACCTCAATTTTTTATTAATTCCTTCCTGGAACACATCAAATTTGGTGTTTGAAGAAGCAGGAGGAGGGAGATGGGAGGTGTTGGGGGTGGAGAGTGGGTGCATAATTGTGGCACCATTACTGTATACGTTGTCCAATCTATATTGTTTTTGGAGTGTTCACTTTTGATGGTGTTTGATGATGTTGCAGTTTGTCCTCGACCACCAGAGAGACAGTGGATCTCACTACAACCTGACAGATCAAGAAATCCTGCACGTAAGTTGTTGATAGTTTCTAATAAAGTTATTAAATATTATTACATATAGAACGTCCTTTTTTTCTGCTTGAGAGAATGTTAACACATCATAATGACCCCGACCAAGAATGAAAGGTGGGACACTTGATCTAGAGTCTACCTTGTAACCAATAGGTCACCTTGCCTTCTCATTGTTGCTTTACTTACCCTTGTATTGATCTCAATATAACAATATGACGGCAGTATTTTAGATCGTGTGTAAAACAAAAACAAGAGCAATTACATTAGATTTGAGATTGTATGTACATGCATGGGTATGTCAGTGTGAGACTCAAATGCATATACATTGTGCTAATTGTGTCAGTTTACATTTTGTGTGTTTTTTTTTTGTTTTTGTTTTTTCATTTCTTAGTTACATTTAGTGTCATGTGCTATAATGTGCTTTGTGACAAGTATTGCACAAGACAGATATATGGCTATTGTCCGTCATGGGCGTTAGATTGGGAATACAGGAAAACAGCGATTTTAAAAGAAATTCTTCATTATGGGGCAGACATTCTTGGCTTACAGGTAATGTGCAAACACTCTTTTTGTAGAAATTGCTTTGTTTTTCTCACTTTTATCAGTAATACCCAATACATATATTTTATCAACCAACTGAACCAAGCACAAGTATCATAAGCACTGGGAGAATATTGGTCCTTTGAAACAGTGTTTGTGAAGTGTTTAAATGGAGAGACTAGCTTAGGGCCTGGAGTTAATGAATTTGCACTCTGTATTATGTTATAGTTTGCTGTACATGTTCATAGGATGTCAGTCATTTCACCTACAAGTCGTTTCGCCTACAAGTCGATTTGCCTGTAGACATTGAAGTCATTTCACCTACACAACTGAAGTGGTTTTGCCTACACAGTCTGAGTCGATTCACCTTTTGGAGTTATCGGGAGGTTTGAGAAATTGGGATTCCACACAGTTTGATCACGTACAGTTACTTGAATCAACAACATATCGATCCTCTGCTCCCTGTGCCCAGACACGCACATTGCTCAAGTAGTTGTTCAACTTAGTAGTTGTTCAGTGCCGTCGCTGTGGAATACTCTTCTGAAAAACATTACTATAATTATTGTAAACCTATTTGTCAATTTTTAGATTATAAGTATTTAGTATTAAGTAATAAGTATTTAGTGTAGGTAAATCCACTTCAATGTAGGCGAATTGCCTCAGATCGTGTAGGCGAAAGGACTTTGATGGTGTAAGCGAAATGACTTTGATGTAGGCGAATTGACTTGTAGGTGAAACAACCAGCCACCTGTACATATTATGTACATGTATGTGTCTAGACTTTTATGACTTCAGGTTGTCAAAGGCTGTTTCGTATAGGATATTTAAGTTCAAGACATTATTCATGCACTAACTTTCTCTGTTAATTTCCTATTGTAGGAAATTGAAACAGAGCAGTTCTTTAACTTTTTTCTTCCTGAGCTTCAACAACATGGGTATAATGGAATTTTCAGTCCAAAATCCAGAGCGAGGACAATGACGGAAGAAGATAGGAAATATGTTGATGGCTGTGCAATATTCTACAGGACATCAAAGTAAGTATGATGAATTGAGTTGGACCCTTGTTGATGAGGTGCTGTTTGCCTGAATGTTTTGTATCAATCTGTTACTTGGTACAAGAAAAGAAAGAAGAACCGTAAAGAAGAACAAACATTAAGTCAATATCAGAATCTGTAATTTCATTTACAATGAGCAGGTGCACATTGCAGGTATACTGAGAGATTTTTCCCCCTGATTGTCGAATCCAATCTGACAACTTATGCCACTGAAGATGGCTAAATTCACATACTTGCATAGGTTAGTCCTGTGAGTATAGCTGCTTAATAAATACTACAGAAATTGGAGTAAAATGCTTGCACATTAAATCACCAGGCTTCTCCAATATTTACCAATGGAACTGGCTTAACATTTACCATAGGCCTTATACAGTTGCATTCTAATAAAAATTTAACACATTGTGTAGTTATTACAGAGCTATTCTCTTTCATGCTTTATTCATTGGTCATTCATCATTTCAGATTCACCTTTGTGAAGGAGTACCTCATTGAGTTCAATCAACTAGCAATGGCAAATGCCTCAGGTGCTGATGACATGCTCAACAGAGTCATGACCAAAGATAATATTGGCATTGCAGCACTGCTGGAGCTCAAAGAGGGCTACCTTAACTACGGCAATGACGTGAACATGCCGAGGCAACAGGTGCTTGTGTCTAATGTTCACATCCACTGGGATCCCGAGTTCAAAGATGTCAAGCTGATTCAAACAGTCATGCTTATGCATGAGTTGATGAACATCATGCAAGAGATCAATCCAGGTTTCATGGTCCAGGGAGGTGAGTTACATTTTCTCTAGATATTGCACAATGGAAACGCGACTTTAGGGCTGAGAAACCATATTCTGTTATAATTATGACCAAAACCAAATAAAACAAACGTCTTTGTTATATCGGGGATCGGTTAATACAGTAATTGCTTGTTTTAATTTTTGCCTTAAAATTAATAACAGTGTTACAATGCACACTCAGCATGCCACTATTAATAGTGCCCTCTGACAAAGTCATTATATAATGAACTGATATATTGAATCATGTGTTGTCTTATTTACCGTAGTCTTTTACACCAGAGTATTACTGGATTTACAATAGATTTACAACCTCAGCCAAATGTTGGGTGTGATTTATTTTTAATATCAGGTTAGATTTCAAGTTTGGGCCTTGGGATTGCTATAAATGGGACTTCGTTATACTGGGGTTTGTTATAGTGGGGTTGTTCCTTACATTGGGTTGAAAGATATTGATATTGATATACAGGTGGACTGACAGTAAGTTGTAACATTGTGCAAGAATGGATACATCTAGGATATGTTAAAATCAGTCTTCATTGGCCTTGTCGCTCTGTAGAACATTGTTTCAGCATTTGTTAGTCAGTGAACTACATGTAGTAAGGCCTATATGTTTGGGTACCAAGCTTCGTGTACCTTTTGTGGGGACATGTTGTTTTAAATATCATGGTTCAATTGTTTTGCTAAATGTGTTACTTACTGGAACACTTACAAACATTCTTCTTCCTAATAGGTAAAAATGGCACACCACCAAGCAAGTCCATTCCATTGGTGTGCTGTGGTGATCTTAACTCCTTACCTGAATCAGGTGTTGTTGAATTCTTGGATAATGGAAGGGTACGGATTGACCATGGTGACTTCTTGGACATGAAGTACGATGGTTTCCTCTCTCGTCTCAGCAACAGTAAGAACGGCGAGAAGTGTGGGGATCTAACTCACTGTTTCAAACTCAGTCGTGCCTACTCCGAGGAGCAGATGTCATACAGCAACCTTACGTATTCATTCACTGGAGTCATTGATTATATTTATTACACGTCCGACCTTCTTGTTCCTGTTGGGGTCCTCGGCTCAGTCAGTAAGGAATACATCAAGGAAAACAAGGTCATCGGCTGGCCACACCCTCATTTCCCATCAGATCACCAGTCTCTGCTCGTAGAATTTGAGGCGCTGAGCTTCAGTAATGGGGTTCCAGTTTATGGGTATATGCCAGGTGCACATCATCCCAGGTAGTGTTACATGCCATTCTTACGTCAATATTATTGTAAATTTGTAACAAAGGTGTAAAAAGGCTGACTTGAAGGAAGCCATTTTTAAGGATCTAGTCGCAAGACTTGTTTTGTATTCAGTCTGGTAGACCAGTTGGCCAGTGGAGGCATTTTTCCCTCAGTCAGTTTTATAACCACGTTTAAGCAAAGGGAGAATAGCAGTTACCCTGACATTTCAGCAGTTGGTTGGTTAACAGGGAGTAATTGCAGGGATTTAGCTAAGAATACACTAAGGCCTAGGTCAATTGTCGAACTTCACAAGAAACAAACTAAATTGCAATTTGAATCGATCCAAATGGATAAAGCTTGACCACTGGGTCAAACATTGAACCTAATTTGAATTTAGATTGACCAACACATTCTATCCATCTGCTTTAGACAGATAGAATGTGTTAGTCAACCTTAATTCAGTCGAGCAAACTCAGTCAAGTCAAATAAAACTTTGCTCAGTTTAGTGCGTCTCATGTGAAGTTCAACATTTGACCTGGGCCTGAGTTGGCTCAGTAACAAGGTCAGTCTTGGAGGAAGAAGTCCTTGTTTTCTAGTGAAATTTCAGTTGGTTAAGAGCTCTCTTTTAGCCGGTGAAATTAGCTACCATTTTGTTCTTTGCTACATCCCTGTGGTTGTTATAATTTTATGTTTGTAGTAGTAATTTATTAAAGTTCTAGTGATGTGTTCATACAGCTGTCGATACAAGTGCAATAAGAAGTGATATTTAATTTTCTTAAAGTAGACAAAGATCTGTATCTTAGTCCAGTCGACCCTAACATGGGATATGAGTAAATGCCACAGATGAAATTGCAGGAACACATGTACCATACAAGTTTTCATAATTTGTTTGCAAATACATGTGACTAAAAACAGGCAAAACTTTACTTACAAAGAACATGCAACTGTCATAAAGCCTGAGGATATTCTAATGACATGTGTTTAAATTGCATGTAGATTAGAACTACAAGTGTCATTTGCAATCTGCGCACATGCATGAATGGAAACGAAAGTACATACAGAGTGGTACAGTGTGTTTACTTGTATGTACAAGTCAGTCTTAAAGAGACAGTGTCCTGGTTGTGATGGGGCTGTGATATTGTGTTTTAACAAGTATGGCTGGGGGCTTGCCCTAAACGTGCATTATTATCTTGCAATAGAAAGGAAAAGCAATGCCAAAAGTGTTGAAAGCAAAGAAATATCAGCTAAAATAGCAATTTAGTATGGAAATTAAGAAAGACAACCTTCAATAATCAGCTGAGACACTGTCTCTAGAGAACATGCATTCGTAGACTGGAACTGACTCACTTAAAATAGTGTCTTTTATCTGACCACCACTGAACTGCAATATGAATGTACCTATTACGTATCTCAATGTTTTGTTTTGGTTTTGTTCAATTATTAGATGTCAGTTGTGTACTGTAGGTGGCGTTGTGTATTTTTAGGCAAAGAATATTTTTGAAAGAGTTTTTCCATTGCATAGTTGCAGAAATGACGTACTCTTAGTAACAAATAGTTCATGCACTTGCAGTCTGAACATTGTATCGTAATTGCCTGGACCTTTTTCATACAAGAGTAGAAAGTTTGTTTTCGTCCGAAAATGATAAGAATTGTCTGAAGGTTTCAGTCGTTATATGAACCTTTTTGGTGAACTAAGAACAAAACAAGTGAGAAAAACTTCAGCCAAGAAATATTCAACGCCCTCCATACCAGTTAAATGCTAGATTTAGAATTTCGTTTGCCAGTATAGTTGTAGAACTTTAGGTGGTGAAGCAATATGTTTCGTCGTACGTTAAAAAGATTTGCCAACCATGTGGTGCAAACAGCAGTTTATCAGCATGTTAGCTCATGTTGATGTCGACTTGAACTTTGCACCACTTAAGAAAGAGGAAGCGAAGTCAACGTAACCTGGTGTGGTCATAAAAATGAGGTTGAGAAAACTCAAACTTTAGGTAAGCTTGGGTTTATATGAGGATCTTAAAGTTTCTTTCTTCCAAACTCGTTCGTGTGTCTGACTGGGCTTTGTAAACTATAAGCCGCCATTTTCCTTTTGGAGGACACGTTCGTGTTGCGTGACGTCATCGTCGTATCAATCCAATCAGAACATACCTCTGTCTAAAACCCGAATCTGTTGTTTGCTCCACGTGGTTGGATTGGATGGAGTTGCAAAAATGTAATTTACCCAAATGCACTGGGGGTTGTATTGTAAACCGTTTTTATCTTATTTATGTTAAGCAGACTTGTCTTTTTTTATTAGATTGTAGTTAGCTACGTAATGGACTTTGTGTAACTTGCAACGTTACGAGTGTAAAGTGTGTTTTTTGGCAAAACGTCTGGTAAAAATTACCGAGGGTGAAAGCCCGTTATATTGGCCATCTTATTGTTTCATCGCCTTGTTCGTGATACTTTCATTTCTTCCTTTGCATGAACGCAGAATATTACGCAGTTTTATTTTTAGTCCTTGAAGAGAACTTGACCATTTTCTGCTTACTTAAGTTAAGCTTTTTGTGTGTGTTTTGTTTTTATTTAATTTAAAGCAATATTGAAGTTTATATACTAGCCAAATTATTCCGGCCCGAAGGAAATGTGTGTGTAGAGTTAAAGAGGTACTCTCAGTACAAGTGGTGGAGGTCGGGTGTCAAAATTGACCGTGCGGATGCCCGCGGGACTAGATATCCCGCGGGAAGAATTAGCCGCCGGAATAATAGTCATGTACTTCACATCCCCGTTTTTGTTGGTCACTGATAAATGTCCATATTGTTTTTTGAGTAGTGTATGTCTTTAAATTCTTTAGATTATGTAGGAGTGAACAAATTAAGCCAATTGTTATGATTTTTAGGAAAGAGATAGTAAATTTGGTTAGTTTGATTTTCTGTTTTAAGAAATATAAGCCTTGTAATTCCTAAGTTCAGCGCTTGCTGCTGGAGTGTTTTGTCGCAGCAAAAACTGAAACGAGCGAAATGAACATTTCTCAGTGATCAATTAAACTTCTTGGTCATTATTATTATATTATTTTTATGTGTAGTTCGATCTTAGTTATTGCCCCTAAAAGTGTGTTTATTTTTAACAAACAAAATTTGCACACTATCGATCAGGTATCGGCTAATATTCGTCAAGCAAGACTTTCATTAACTTTTTGAAATTCCGGCCGTTTCTTCTCTACAGTTTTAGATGTAAGAAATACATTTTACTGACTTTTCTTGGCGTGTTGCTAACTGTATTTGAGTTGAGAGGCCATCATCTTGCTGTTGCATTAGATGAAGTGTGCAAACTTTGTTTTGATACCAGAAGTTTTGTGTCGAGCAGTCTTGGCTATTTACTTCGTCGCAGTAGTTTCGAGTAAGGTTGTAAGTTTGTAGAAAGTTAGCAAGTGCCATTACATTGTAACTCGGAGATAAAAATTTTTAATCCAAACTGGCATTTCTGAGAAAAAGACGGAAAACGACTGGAATAAACTCCGTGAACAGATAGAGCTTGCAATGTGTCTTTTAAGATTCTTGTAATATTCTTTCCCCTCTATAACTAGTGCTTAAAAGTCAACTTTTGAAATTTACTGAAGTGTCCAGACTTTTCTCCAAAAAAAGAGAAAAGACTTGTTTTAGTTTACCCGCCGACCTGAGATTAGCAAATTCGCATTTGCGTTGGTTCTGCATCACTGCGATGTACGATTAGGCTCGATTTCTGCCGCAATATCGAGTGAGCGGCTGGTTATCGAGCTTAATATACGATTGGCTTGAACAAAGACCAGCGCTACTCTGTCGCCCAATCAGAAATAAAACCAAAACCAATCGTGACTCGTTCGCACACGTTTTCCCGCGCTTCGCGTCAGCAACATGTATTTGCTTTGAGTCTTGATTGGTTCACTGGATTATCTGTATCCGTTCTGAATTTTCTGTGTTCTTAGTGACTTTGTGTTACATGTTCTTCGATTCTGGTTTTACGACGCTCAATTAAGAACCGCTCTAATGTACGAAACAAACTATCGATACACGTGCGAGAGCTGCCTTCCCCTGGCACCCTTCCCTATTAAGTGTCTTTTCCAGAGCTTTTTATGGTCTTTCCGTCCTGATTTCTACGTGCATGCATGCACTGCGAATACGATGAAACTTGCAAGTTGGTTATTGACTCAAAACAGGTGACATTAATTGCTGGCTTGGACGAGGGTGGCAAAGGTCTTGGACGTTCAGGGGCCCAATAAAACCAAAGTATACGATGATCGATTTATTTTTATTCTTTTATCCTTTAACCTCGATATTGATTTTTTTATTTTCACATGACGACGTGTATCTTTTTTATATCACCCGTGGACCCCATGGACTCCCAGTGAAACCTTCACAATGGTCGCCGGACAAGCGGGATAGCATTCCGCGGGAAGCTGCGGGACGGGATTACAACATCTTTGATTACCAGTCCGCCTCTGCTTGCCCTTTTCGTGTGGGTTTGAAATGTGTTCTCAAAATTAGCAGTGACGACCAGCGATACTTTGCAGTTAAGTTACGTTGCCTCACTTCCTCATTTTAACCCACATTAACCACCAAGTGTTGGCAATGGAATACAGAAGGTGAACTGTATATCAAAAAGTCGAAAGTCAACACATACTACGTTTTTGGCGCCTTTTGCTGTATTCGTGGGATTCTTGCAGCTTGTTCGTGAAACTCCACCGTACGCTACAAGACGAGTGATTATAAACTTTTGATAGAGAACCCAAGACTTGGTGGAAACCTCTTAACATTTAACATCGTATCTCAGGTGAGACTATTGAGTATTGGACATTTCTAAAGGCTTGTGTGAAGACGATTGTTCAAATGCTAATGTAAGACATTTCGGTCGATCTTTCGCATCCGTTTATTAAAATCACGTTAAAATTTCCCGATTGTGATCAAATGATCACAGGTGTTAATCGCTTCCCGTATGACGCAACGCTCTCGTAGGTTTAAACGTTTTTCTTCCATTAATTCACTGCTGTTGTAAACGTGAGTTTTTAGTGCGATAAGCAAGCTTTAGTTATACACCTGGACTCCCTTCATTTATTTGGACAAAACTTGGTCAGGTGAGGTCTGTTAATTAGCTTACATGGGCCTGACTAAATTCAACAGCTGCCAGGTTTATGATCGTTTGAAACGGACAATTGCCAAGAGTTTTTGTTGCTCTTGATCATGCTTGTAGTTGTTAAAGTGTTCTCTTTAAGTCACGAGAGAATTATAATAATTCCTCCTCAGTAGTTTTACGGAAAATGTGCACGTCGATGTAATGAACTACATTAACTTTAGAGTTCATATGCAATGTTGACAAAAGACCTTCTCACTGTTTCTAATGCCATCTTGTTTTGACATGACAATAATTACAGTGAATGTATAAGAAAAGTAGAGAATCTAGTGTCTGACAACTCGCAGTAAATTTGAGTTGCAAATTATTTATGAATTAAAAACTAAAAGATACCATGTAAAGATACCAGCTTCCGAGGTTTCAGCCACCTCAATGTGTGAATGATTTGTCAGTACAACCGACCTTTACATGTAGCTCGTTTCCATATTCTCTTCTGATCTTTTTGGTCTGTCAGTGAATACCTGGTGAACAAGAAATATGAGCTACCCACCACCGCCAGGAGGCTTTCCAATGTATGGGGGCCCTCCTATGCCAGGAGGAGGAGGAGGAAGCCAATATCCAGCACCTCCGGGCCCTCCTGGAGGTCCAGCCTTAGGATTTGATAACTTAACTAACCAGCCCCCAGTGGGTACCCCTGGGGTAAGTACAGGAAACCAAAGACTGGCCATAAGGTTGTTTCTATTTGGAGGTGTTTTGTATCATGTAAAAGCTTAATTTAAATTCATTACTTAATCAGTGTACAGTTGTACTCTATAATACATGAAAATCCTCTTACCAGGCCACTGAAGACCCCTTCCCACTGCCAACCCTCTGAATATAGAAAACTGTTACTACACATAGAGGTGACTGGTGATTTTGCTGTGCCTCATTAACTACAGTGCATTTGCTAAGTACTGTGCCTGGGTTGATGAATGGTGTTACTGTATCAACAATCTGTGTGGGATTAAGTCATCTTCAGATTCAAGTAATTAATAGTGATAATATTATACTTAATTTATTTGGCACTATTCATTCCACTGCTGCCCGATAGCAGTTTCTGCAACACAAAGCGATTGGGAGTATTTTTACTCCAGGGAGTTTTTCTTCTCTCCCCTGGATAGGATGCTTGTCCACCACAGGGTTATCCCCAGCATTAAATTTGCTTGTACCCATTTATATACCTGAGTGGAGAGAGGCACTGTCAGCGTGAAGTTTTAAAGTATCTTTTCCAAGGGTACAACACAATGTCCTGGCCACTGGGCTCAAACCTGGACCACCCAATCCATGCATACATGCATACATACATACTTTATTGTTGCTTTCCCAATGGGGCTATATACAGTACAACAACAAAACCTTGGCAGATTTGCATGTACCATAAAATATGTTTCCAAGGATATCTGAATGAGTTATTAATATCTACATGTAGATATGGAAGGAATTTTAGTGCTCAAGACCATTTGTGCATTTTACACACAGTATCCACATGGTGGCCCATCTATGCCCATGCCAACTCCTGGAGGACCTGCTATGTATCCTGGGATGTCAAGTCAAATGCCGCCGGCAATGCCATCAGGTGAGCTTCCTTTTTGTAAAAAAATGTGTTATTTGTAAACCTAGCACACCTGTACCCCTGAAGGGTCCTGTCAGTACTTTATGGTATCTCAAGTATGCAGATTTTTATTAATGGTAATAAACATTGGTTGAAGAAATCAAGAGTTCTAGATATCGAAGGAACATAGAACAAAAGTATGCTATATTGCTAATGACAGTGGTTTCAATAATAGCCAGGAAGCAGGTAGATCTACCCGCTTGTAATGAGCGGACTACCTGTTTGTAGCCATCCTGGATAGCCATACACAAATAGGTAAGAACAGATCATTTCCTCGCAGCTAAGGATTCTCTTCAAGAAATTTGACAAAACAAGTCTTATGTTATAAGTAAAGAAAAAGAAAGGTACATGAAACAACTTTCTAGTGTTTTAAACCCAGCCTCTTGGACCACGAAAGATGAAGGAGAGAGTAACCTAACACACAAGAACAATCGCTTCAATACAAAGTGAAAAAAATGTGCCAGGCACTTCAGCTGAAATCGAGAGGAAACTGGGACTAAGCATGAATAATATTGGCTGCCAAAATGCAATCGTTATATATGGGTTATTGACCAAGTGTGAGGTCAAGATGGCTGGATATTGGCCAAGCTCTTTTTTTGCGTGTTTATGGACCAAGACAGAGTTGAGGTCCATAAACTCGCAAGAAAAGAACAAGACCAATATCAAGCCACCTTGACCAAACAAGCTTGGTCAATAAAGGATTTATTATAGGGCTTACTGGGAAATTTTTCTTGCGGGACATGGCGGGTAGACCCCAGCAGGCAAGATAGCTCCATCTTGCCCGCTCGGGTAGCCAATCATAGCGCAGGATTTGACTCATCTTGCCTACTCACAGAGTTAGCCATATGATAATAGCATATTTCGCTCCAGCATCAAAACAATAGAGGTAGGAGAAGAATGATTCTTCACAACGTTGGTTGAGGATATTGAAAGGGACACATTTCGGTGTTTAAACTTTAATATTATGCTTCTTTTCATGGTGAAATATAATGTATCGTTCATGAATCAATTTGAATACGCAGAATTAAAATACCACACGTTATCAACATTGTCTTTCTAATTGATTGACTTCTAGGAACAACAAAGCAACATAAAAAATAGGCCTCAAAACGGAGGAAAATGCATCTGCGAGAGTCTACAATTTCAAATTTCCCTCCTGGCCTTCCAAGAAACTACCCACCTGTTTTTCTAAACTACCCTCTTGAGCTAAAAATTATTGAAACCCCTGCTAACGACAGATTTGATTTATCACCAACAACAGGGGGTAGGCATATTTTCATAGACTGACATTTTGGCCACATTGAACCAAGCCTGTAGCCTTGTGATGCTTTTTTTTTGTGACTTTAGTGCACTTGTGAGCAAACTTGCGAGTCCGTTTGACCACCCTTTGCAAGTCCCTACGCAAGTTCAACTTGTGGCTACTTGCCACTACTTGTAAGTGCATTTGGCCAAGCCTTTATAGTAACTATATGTGTGTTTTATTTTCCTTTTCTATACCCAATATTATCAGGTATGCCCATGCCTAACCCTAATATTGGCATGCCGCCGCCAAACCCAGGTGGTTTATATGGTGCTGCACCTTCCATGCCAAAGCCTGGTGGAGGGTATCCTGGGAGTTTATCATTTGGAGTGAGTATTAACATAGGCAGCCTAGTACAGTGAATATGCACAGATATGCATGTATTATGTATACTAAGGGTAAAGTACAAAACAATAATTTACATGTATAACAATAAATCCTTATTTATCAATGAAGTTACCTGTAATAACTGTAACACAATTGCACACCTGAATGTACATGTGAACCAATATCGTGCATATATGTAAATGTAAAATTAATAAAGAAGTTCTGAGCACATCAAGTCTTATTTGACTACTAATAATTCTTCTATGTGCACATAATTTTACTGACCTTTTTAGGCTGCGGCCATGGCCACTGCCTCATTTCCAGCCCACTACAACAGAAGTCAAGTTGGTCCACCTCAGCCTCAGCCTAATTTGCCCATGGTGAGCTATCATTGACTGTCTGATGGCATGTGACAGCTTCTTTCTCTGTCCTATTTCTTGAAAAGTCTGCACTTAATAGCTGTAATGATTATACAGTATTGTTTTTTGCCAACTAAGGCAGCTGTATTGGAGTCAGTGGAAGGCCTTGTTTACCATTTGTGGGGGATAGCAAACTCCTGTCTTCCTTCTCTGTACCTTGTTGCTCTATTAACAGAATTGTTGTTACTACATTTCTTATTTCTTGGTAGTCAGTTTGCCAGCTAGTGAGGTGGTGAGTCAGTCTCAGACTTGTGTTAGTCAGTTAGCATTGACGAGAGTGATTTTCATCTTACTGTATGCAGCTTGACTGGTCATGACAGTTACATGTAGTTCAGTCTGTCCAGCATACTTCATGATGGTATTGTTTGTTGTTGGAATACTCATGAATGCTGAATAGTCACTTACAATGGACAACTTCCAGCCTGACTAGTAAGAGTGCCAGAGCTTTCGAAGCAATAGTCAGATATGGCTTATTAATGCCAGTGCTCAATTTTAGGCTCTGAGTAGTATATGAAACAGCTAAAAGCATCTTGCTACTTCTCTTGAATTGTGTAATCCACCATAGGTTACACCATCCCCTCCCCTCCGCTCCCTAACATGTCATCAGGTTGCCTCAACACTTTCGCCGTAACAGGTTTATGCGCCTGGTTGAAGAGAGGCACTGTGAGAGTCAAATAGCTTGCCCAAGAACACAGCATGAAGATGCTGGCCAGTCTCTTGGACACTAATCTTACTTGTAAAGTTCTGAAAATGACAACCCCCTGAAAGTAATAGCCTTCCAAAAACAACAATAAAAGTTCATGGCCAAATATTAGAAAATTCAAGAAATGGTTAGTGCACTCCAAAAGAAGTGACTACCCAGATGTAGTGACCTCACCTCACATATGAATTGATCTTTTTTTTTTTTTGAGTGTGTGTTAACTATTAGAAGCAATGGAAAAACATGCAACTAATAAGCTGTTCAACCAAACTGATCTCCCTTATTTAAGATTCCACTTACTTCACTGAAAGGCAACATAAAACTTACCCTGTTTGGTTTAACATAATTTCTTTTCAGCAAGGTGGGACCTTGTTTTATATATTGATCTAATATTTTTCTCTAATTAATAAGATGGATTATCTCACATGCGGTGTTTTAGCTTTGCAGAAAAGTAGGGAGTCACTGAAAGTTGTAACTTAAAAGTTGTGTTCTCAAAGTTGCAAGAGGCTACCAGGCTACAAACTCCAAATGTAACATTGGAGCAACTACTCTTTTAACTTTACAGTAGTCTGTTCCTACTGCAAATTCATTAACAGAACTCCGTAGTTTGTGTACATTGTACACATGCATGTAAATATATTTGCTCAGTGCCGCTGGTATTGGAACTTAACTTACCCATTTAATGCCACTTTCAAAATAATTACACTGCACTGTAATCTACTATGTTGTGTGACAGTTTGAAAGCAATGACAGATTATTTTTGAGGCTTTAAGACAGTGTAGGTAGGTAAAGCATGAAGCGGCTAGGAATATTTCTACTCCCTCCTGTGAGGGAATGTTAGTCCAGAGGCAAGCGCACTAACCATGAGGTCACCACAACTCCCAGACAGTGTAGGTAGTTAAAGAATAATCCACTACCAGTAGGTTTGATACACCTGCCAGTGGGCAGTGGACTATTGTACCACCAGTGTAACGTAGTGGGTCAAATATTGATGACAATTGAACTCTTGATAGCAAATACCTCTGAGAATAAAACCCCTTTCTTCCTATTAAAACATACCTCCAAATTCTTTGTTTGATGTGAAATTTAGTAATGCTGATGACAGAGAGTCAGAATTTGATTTGGTTGTTTACTCAGCTTTGCTACAAACACTGCAATCATTTCGTTTTATCAGGGCCCACCCCCAAGTTTCCCTCCTTCGGCACACATGCCAAGTATGCCGAGTGCACCCCCTCCTGCTGCTACAGGTGCTTCAACAACAGTGTCATCATACTCATCATCATCATCACACTCATCATCATACTCCTCTCACTCTTCATCTACTGCGAGTTCCAGCTCAAGCCAAAAGGTATGGAATTTTAGCCTCAGTTCCAAGCTAGTTCTAGTCCAATACCAAGAACACGAATATGGCCTACTGAAAGTCATAATTTGTTCATGATTGGTGGATCATGTTTTACCATTTGTTTAGCACTATTACACTGTCACTCACTGTCACTTAGTCAATCAAATAACAGCATTTGCCATTAGGTTTACTGGTAGAATTCTACTTATCGCTAATAGTGTATGATGGCTCAATCAAGCAGATTGCTGCATGTGCTTAGTATGTTAGAACAGTTCTACTTTGATCATACTGTAGTTCCATTAGGATGTTATTGACTGTGTACAACCACAGGCATTCCAAACTCACGATTCGAGAAATCGATCGAATGTTAATGATTTATGTAAGCGTATTGAGTGGGACGTGACCAGGTGACTACCTAAAGTACGCGGTGTTGTGTTACACTTCAGGCCGTTGAGAATTTGAGCGCTCCATAAGGCATTTTATGTAGTTTAAAATAATGAAGGATGAAAACGCACAACGAAATAAAATGCCACCTTCTTTTGAATACAATGTAGAAAATATACTCACCTTGCCTGGTGTCTGTTGTCCGTTTGGCCTATTGTGTTGTAGGAGCTTTTTGAGGTGTTTGTAGCAGCTTTCCGTAGACGAAGTCCGGAGCTTGGTCCAAAACAGAGTACAAACCCTATGCTTACAGTACACAAGTTCACATATTTCTGTTTTTTTAATTGATAGCAATCAACAAGACGAGCTTCTATCAAGCAGCATGGAAAATTTGATGCACAGAAAGATGCTGAACTGTTAAGAAATGCAATGAAAGGATTAGGTATTAATAATATCTAGTCACTATAATTAAATTGTTTATTAGGACATTAAATCTCATTCGTGCTTGGTCATTCACAATTTCACATTTTGAATTCAAATGTAAAATTCGGGGAAAACCTAAAAGAAGTGAGATCACCTTTTTTCGCACCTGCCAAACAGAGCGAAATTGAAGGCCTGTGAAAAAGAGGCTGGCGAGACAATTAAAGACGCGAAATTTTAAGCATTGCGGTAAAACCCTTTCTGATCAAATTTTACCGACTGTCATCTCACGGGAAAATTTTTTTCTCTGAACCATAAAGTAGAGAGTAGACATACAGTACGTATCCTGAATTCTGTCTGACCGGTGTTCTTTGACATTATGCTATGTCGCAAAGGAACTTGTTAACCTATTGTACAAAATTTTGTTTTCTTACCGTTCTGTTGAATATCACTGAAAAATGTTGCTCTGAAATCTATACCGTTCATTTTGAGACCACTCGTGTGAACGAGAAGGTCAAGGTACATACCTTGATTTCGCGAAAATTATTCCCCCTTCTGTCAAATCGCGAAACTTTGTCTGTTTTATTTTCGCAATTAAAGGACAATTGTGCTAATTAATGTTCATTTCCAGTTGTCAACCATCTCATTTTGGCGTATATTTATTATTAATTGATTTACACGACTTAGAGCGGTTTGATAAAACCAAAACCAAACCAGTTGCTTACCAATAGACCCCTTCACGCTCTAAGGGGCATTATGGGTTATCGGGCCAAGATCGGCAAAGAAACAAAGCGGCAAAAGATACGTTTTTCTTCATATTTCCGTTCTGAGGTTAATTTTCGTGAAGAAACTGTTACTGTAG